TTTTATATTTTGGATCCACATAATTGCAGATGCCTTGGCTACTCCTCCCACAGTGGTAACAAAACCCTCCTCTATGTGTGATCTGGTTGCATAACCCACCTCAACTCGGAAGATCAGCGCTTTAATAAAGGGAAGAAAATGTAGTGTGGGAGCCTAGATTCACTCTCTTAAGGATTAGCCCTCTAGCACTACCTTAGTTTATGACAGAAATACGGGTTTGCACGTGTGTGTGTGTGCGCGCATGTATGTGTGTGGTAAGACAACTCCTGAGGAAACGGATGGGCCCATAAAAGGGTACCCTTATGGCCTTATATACCTGCCCCAGACCAACCTACACGGAAAGGGTCTTAAACGAAGCTTCACTGCAAGCACTCAAATGTTATAAAATGCAAACAAGTTTGTATTTGCACAGCCTCAATTCTGCCTGCTTGTGTGGATGCATCTTTAAATGTGTGCGTAGTCTGTAATTACATGACAGCTCGTTCTTTTTTTCCACAGGATCCCTGCCTCCTTTAGTGCATGGGCTGGATGACAGTTAACAGAAAAGGAAGTTGTTCAGCCCTGTTCATTCAGTTTGTGGTTACTCCTTTGTTTAGTGCAAATCTTCCTATGCTGCACCCAGAATTATTAGTTTCTCATGGGTTTTCCTGCAGCATTTGTCACATTAATGTCTCAGATCCCCACAAACAGTAATGTGTTTATCTTGTGAGACAGGAAAATATTTTATCCCCATTTTTGATATATGAAAGGAAGACACACACAGGACAACTTGTGAAACAGATCCTTTAATTCTAGGTATAACAACCAAATTGCTACAGCTAAACTAATGATATTTTTAGTGCTTCCCTAAATTAGAGTTTTTGCTATTTTCTCTTTCTCTTCTTTGCCTCTACTTGTGGTTATACATAAAGAGGAGAGAGAGCAAACAACTTGTGTTTAAAAAGTATTAGCAAGCAAAATGTATACTTTAAAGGCACTATCTTTACAGCAACAAAAAGGGGGTAGATAGGGGGTACTGATGAAAATTTAATGTATATAATAGCTTAGATGATACTCTGAAATTTAATAAAAGCAGGGGACACTACTTTATGCACTCCATTTATATACTTTGCTTTCTCCAGAGTCACATGTTGACAATGAATTTGTTCACATGGTTTTGAGTCAGGTCTATGGCTTCAGCCAAGATCAAACATTTACATGTATACGGTCTGGAAACATGCCAGGCTCAGTCACTCAAACTAATTCTGAAAAAAATTAACTTATTTATCAGAAGTCATTCATCTAGAATAGTTATATAACCTTCCACCTTGGCTACTTGGCTTTCCTAAGAAGCAAGGTGTTCATCCAGCTGAAGGGTCATCCTAAGCGGTGTCTAGCATCTAAGCTAGCGGGTAGATAGCTCCATGTCACTCAGATTAGCCATAGTGCTGCAGACTGCCATCTAACCATATCCTAGACTTGTGCAAAGCAGCAGCTTGATAGCCCCAGGTCTCCTTCTTTGGCTGGGTGGAGCAAAATTATAATAATCTCA